TCTCTAGTCCTGACCTGCTTTTGCTGTCCCCAATTATCCAACATTTTCCTCAAGATTTTCTTTGCCCTACTTAAATGGAGGAAAATTCCATTTGGACCAAATGTTGATATTGGTGCTTCCTGCTTCGGGGTAAAAGCCAGAGATGCACCTCAGAGAAGGTTTGTCTAGATTTTCTCAAGGCTGGTTCTTCCATCTCCCTCTGTTTAAAACATTATCTTACCCCTTGCCTCTCCCTCAGAAATGAGGAGTTCAGAGGGAGGTCTCAGAGTACTCTACTTTTCCATTACATTTCTTTGATTCTTCCCTATTCTTAAAAACATTGTCAATTCCATCACAGTTATTATTTCCATCCTGGAAGTATTTATTCTGCATCAAATCATAGAAGATAAGAGCTAGATGGGGCTTTGGCAGTAATTTAATTCAACCACTCACTTAACAGATGGGAAACTGATGTTCAGAGAGATGAAGTGAGTTATTTACCTAAAATGAACCAATGAATTTACATTTCAGCCAGAATTAGAACTGAAGTCTTCTGATTACCAGTTCAGTATTGCTGGGGTTTTTGTTTGCTTGTTTGTTTGACTTTACTGTACTGCCTCTCCCTTTCCCCTATTGGACCTATCTTTTCCACATTTTTGTGTACGTGGGTATAAATGTATACATGCATGTATACACTAGTATGCTCTCTCTCAGGGTACAATTATTCATTCCTGGACCATCACAAATATTCCTGAAGTCTACATGTCAACCTTAGAAGCAAAAGACATTAAAGAGAAACATAACAAAGATAACCCATCATACACTTGTGGGGTGTTGTTGAGTCATTTCACTGGTGTCCGACTCTGTGACTCCATTTGGGTTTTCTTGGCAAAGGTACTGGAGTAATTTGTCGTTTCCTTGTCCATTTCATTTTACAGATAAGGAAACTGAGGCAAACAGGGTTAAGTGATTTGCCCAGGGTCACACAGCTACTAAGCATCTGAGGCCAAATTGGAACTCAGGTTCTCCTGACTCCAGGGTCAGCACTCTTAAATGTATTTAAATACAGAATTGGACAAAGATAAAATCATAAGGTTAAATTAAAATTAAGAAGTCATCTGATCATGCTCCTATTTCAAAGTTGGGTGGCAACAACTTTAAATATAAGGGGCTCATTTCCATTTCTTCAATAACTCTTGGGAGCAATATTCTCCAGCCTATACCGGTGCCTAACAACTTTGGTAGGTTTCAAATTATTTCACAATATTCATACTTGGATGTGATGAAACTACTTTAAATCTGTTTAAAAATCTGTTTGAGCTTTATTTAAAAGGGGTTTTAAAAAAATTTTATTTGGAAAAGAAGATATCTCCTTCTGTTGTTCAGTCATGTCCGACTCTCCATAGTCCCATTTTGGGATTTTCTTGGCAAAGACACTGGAATGGTTTGCCATTTCCTTCTCCAGCTCATTTTATAGATGAGGAAACTGAGGCAAACAGCGTTAAGTGACTTGCTCAGAGTCACAAGTGTCTTGTCAGGTAATAAGTGTCTTGGGTCAGATTTGAACTCAGAAAAATGAATCTTCCTGACTCCAAGCCCAGTGCTTTATCTACTACACCACCTAGCTGCCCTGTTTCTTTAACAAACATAATACAAAATGGTCAATTAAGTCATTATTATGACTTAAGAAGTCATTATTTGTGGAAGAGGCCAATCAGTCAATCAAAACCATTTATTACGCACTACATGCCAGGCACTGTACAAAGCACTAGAGATATAAAGAAAGGCAAAAACCAGTCCCTGCTCTCAAGAAGGTCATAATCTAATAAGGGAACAACATATAAATAACCATGTGCAAGCAAGACATATACAGGATAAATTGGAGATAATCTCAGAAGGAAGGCAGCAGCAGTAAGGGGTGCAGAGGAAAGTTTCTTGTTGAAAGATGAGACTTTAACTGAGACTTGAAAAAAGCCAGGAAAGCTAGGAGGTGATGAGGAGGGTGAGAGCTCTAGGTGTAGAAAACTTCCAGCAAAAATATACAAAGTCAGGAGATGTTATGTTTGGTGTGAAGAAGAAAAAGGAAGTTAGTGTACAGTTATTCCTTCCACATCTTAGGAGTTAGGGGCACAGAACCCCCGTGATCTGGAAAATCCCTATAAAAATTTTTGGTCCTTCCTTTGTGCCAGAGAAGTCTGAATTTTTCCTTTTTATTTTATGGAGTGTTTATAGTACTTTATTGTAAAATTTGGGTTGACATTATACAATATTATGTAGATATTTTATGCATTTCTGAGTTTCTAAACTTTTTCTGTGTTGTCTGCTAGCCTTCACATGTTACTTGCAGCTTCCACAAGACTCCCCCAAAATTCCCATTTAATTTCTTATGCTGACCCATGACATATCGGAACCGTGATGGGGAAAGTCGCAATGTGGAAGGGATAAGCATACAGAGTACTTGAAGGGGAATATGATCTAAGAGGATTGGAAATCAGGAAGGGGCCAGGTTATAAAGGGCTTTAAAGGCCAAACAGAAGATTTTATATTTGATCCTGGAGGTGAGAGGAGCCACTAGAATTTACTGAATAGATCTATTTATTGAATAAGATGGCTAGATCTGCTCTTAAGGAAAATAATTTTGGCAGCTGAGTGGAGAATGGATTGGGATGGGGAAAGACTTAAGGCAGGGACGTCAGCTGGCAGGCTATTGCAGTAGAGCAGGCATGAGGACATGCCTGAACAAGAGGACATAAGAGCCTGCACCAGGGTGAGAACAGCATTAGAGTAAAGGAGAGATATCACAAAGGCAGAGAAACAACAGGCTTTGACAACTGATGGGGGACGAAGAGTGAGAGAGTGAACAGATGGGGAGAGGAGGAATTTAGAGGAATTCTAAACCTAAAAAACAAACTCATAGCTGAGGGTGGGTGTTTCCAGTTATAGAGAGACTTAGACAGAATGAGTGATATAGAATTGAGTCTCAGCTTCGAGGGAGGCTATGAGGACTCCTCTCCCCACTTGAAGGAAGATGATATAAAGCACTACCAGAGAACGGCACATTTTGTAGCTGATCCAGAGACAAATAGGGAGGACAAACAACAACAACAATCTCTTTAATTAATTTAAACAGGCTAAACAAGGAAATAATATACCTCTGGCTGGGGCAAAGAAAAACCCTGGTCACGCTGAAAGCAGAGGACCAGTTTCCAAGCCAGGTTGTGAATTCAAAACTGGCTTGAGTTCAAGAGCCTGACTCTAAAATAATGATGCAGTGTGAGTGCAAAAGAAGGGTGGTGATCTGACTAGGCTTGGATTGACTTAAGAATGACTTAAGAATCAGTGAGGGACCTGAGTTCAAATAAGGCAACAGATACTTGATACTTACTAGCTGTGTGACCTGGGCAAGTCACTTAACCCCAATTGCCTCACCAAAACAAACAAACAAAAAAAAAGATGAAAATTGACCCTGGGCAAATCACTTAACTCCAATTGCCTAAAAAAAAAAATCAAGAATCAGTGAGAAAGGGACTAAATTTTACCAAAGATTCTGTTTTCTTTCAAAGCCCATTCTATACAGCACATATTACCACTGAGCTCAGTTCTTGGTAGTTTTGTTCTAACACTGGATTTGAAACTTGGGTTTGAATCCTGGCTCAGCTGCTTATCCAACCAGGGTGTGCTGGAGCCAGCTCAAACAAGTTCATGAGAACTGATAGTTAAAATTTCAGAATGAGTATATATACCTCACAAATCAACAAACACTAAAAATCAGGGCTTTTAATGTGTTTTTTCTTGGTTGATTTCCAGACTTAAGAAAGTGATGGAGACATTTGTCAATAATGCAGATTAAATTTAAAAGTGTGCCATACATTCCCTGCCCACTCCCCACCACCAGCCAGTTGTTAAATATTTACTAGCACATTCTTGCTATATGTTGGGCAAATCATTTGACCTCTCTAGGACTTTGTTTCCTAATCTGTAATTCAAAGGGGTTAAAACTAGATGATCTCTAAGTTCCCTTCAAGAAAAAAAAAAATCATTTGATCCTCTCAGATCTTCTAACTTGAAATTTTAATGTCCAGGGCAAACAACATTCATGGGGTAAGCAGCAGAGCACCAACCTTAAAAATCACATAAGAAGTAATTAAGACAAAGTCACTTGAACAGGAGAGGGAATTAGTTACAGATGGCTTACAGATGGATGTTATTAATAATGAAAAATATCTATCAGTTTCCTATTTTGGTGAATTATTTTTCTAACAAGAGGCTAAACTCAACTGTTTCTAAGCTATTTAGGGAGTGTATGTCCTGTCAACATGTACATGTATCATTTTTAAAGTACACAACCTTTCAAATACATCATATAATATTTTTGCTTATTTTAAAACAACATTATTCTTCAGTCATGTCCAACTCTTCATGACCTCATTTGGGGTTTTCTTGGCAAAGGTACTGGAGTGGTTTGCCATTTTCTTCTCCAGCTTATTAAGCAAATGAGGAAACTGAAGCAAACAAGCTTAAGTGACTTGCCCAGGGTAGCACAGCTAGGAAGTATCTGAGGCCATATTTGAACTCAGGAAGATGAGTCTTCATGACCCCAGGTCTGGCATTTATCCACTATACCACCTAGCTGCCCCCTTAAACTTTAGTAGCCTAGCACAAAGCCCAATCACCCCACCTAGTTATATCTATAAAGCCAGTCATCCCAATGGTTTATAATTAAAAGTTCACAGAATCTCCAAAATCTTAAAGTAAACATAAACCTAAATAGAGCAAATAGGATTTTTGTGAACCTTTGCTGCTGATTAAATACTGGAAAAGAAAAACAATGACAGGCAAAATCTTTGAAATTTACAGAAAACTGAAATTTTCATTGATGAAAGCAAAGCATTAGCTTCTGGAAAATACAGATGTATTCCTCTTTTCATTCCCAAACAACAAATGTTTTAGTTGCTTAGATCTGACAGTTTTGTTTAAAAAAATACCACAATGCAAAACTAACTTATTAATAGATTACTCACATCAGGGTCTAGTTCTTCCAATTCATTTTCTAGTGTCCTAAGCTCATCTTCTGTTAGTGCTCCTAGGATTTTATCTTCATCCAGATCCCGGTATTTTTCTAGTTCTCGTCTGTATGACATTTTGTAACCTTTCTTGTGGTCTGCACTGAATTATGACCTATAATAAAAAGGCAATGATTCAATTCAACAAGCATGTCTTAATCACATGCAAGGCACCTGAGGATACAAAGACAAAAAGCAAAAAGCTTTAAAAAGATAAATAAGAGATAATGGCTCCTTTGACTATATTGTTATCCTTCTAGAAATGAAAATGTTTGCATTCATTAAGTAGCATCTGTACATATTTTTACAAGTACAATGATCAGTATTAACCTCACTACAATCAAGATTGGCATAGTTTTATTACTTATGCTGCCACTAGAACCAGCAGTGTTGTCTTGTAAAATTTCTTAGGGAATTTGCTATAGTGACTAGATTAGTTTACAACTATCAATTGTTTGTAAGTGAGTACTTAAGTTGTTACTCTTGTTGTTCAGTCCTTGTCTCTCCATGACTTGATTTTTGGGTTTTCTTGCCAAAGACACGGGAATGATTTGCCATTTCCTTCTCCCGCTCATTTTACAGATGAGAAAATTGAGGCAAACAAGATTAAGTGACTTGCTCAGGGTCACACAGCTAGAAAGTATCAGAGGTCATATTTGAACTTGGGGTCTTCCTGACTCCAGCTTCAGCGTTCTATGCATTGCATCACCTAGCTGTCCTCCTGAGTACTCATAGGATCACAGATTTAGAACTGGAAATAGAACTAACCTCACTTTATAGATAAGGAACTGAGGCCCAGAGAGGTCAATTAACTTGTCTAATATCCCACAGGTAGTAAGTAATATAGTTGGGATTTGAATCCAGTTTTTCTACCATCAAATCCCACACTTTCTACTATACTGCTCTTAAAGATTTCTACCAACTTGTGGGAATCTGAAAGAAGCTTGATCTCCGAACTAGATTAAACATACTACTCCAATGTCACTTTTGAGCTTTTAGCAAATCCTCCCTTCATAGATAAGGTTAAGGTAAATTTCATCCCAACCCCTTTCTAAATTGTAAATTATGAATTCATTAGATGCTCTTACATATTATATGTAACAAATTATAATGCTATACTATAACTTTATTTATAGTTATATAAATTATATATTTATATGTAATACTTTATATAATATTAGTATATTTTTATATCCATTGAAGCATTCTGAACTGCATTAGGAAAAACAAGATTGAGTTCTGGACCGTACATTCTTTTTATATGCGTGTGTGTGGTGTGTGTGTGTGTGTGTGTAAACTTTATTGATTTATTTTGATTTATCAACAATCATTTCCATAAGCTTTTGAGTTTTAAATTTTTCTCCCCCTCCTTCCCAACCTCCCTCCTCAAGACAGCACACAATCTGTTATAGGCTATTCATATACATTCCTATTAAACATATTTTCACATTAGTGATGCTTAAGTAAGAATTAGAACCAATAGGAGGAACCACCAGAAAGAGGAATAAAAAAAAACCAGAAGAAAAAAGAATAGCAAATGGTATGCTTTGATCTGCATTCAAACTCCATAGCTCTTTCTTTGGATGTGGATAGCATTTTCTATCATGAAGCCTTTGGAGATGTCTTAGATCCTTGTGTTGCTTAGAAGGGTTAAGTCTATCAATATTAGTCATCGCACAATGTGGATGTTACTGCATACAATGTTTTCCTGGTTCTGCTTGCTTCACTTACCATCAGACCATATAAGTCTTTCCAGGTTTTTCTGAAGTCTGCCTGCTCATCATTTCTTATAGCACAATAGTATTCCATTACATTCATATACCACAACTTGTTCAGCCATTTCCCAGTTGATGGGCATCCTCTTAATTTCCAATTCTTTGCCACCACAAAAAGAGCTGCTATAAATATTTTTGTACATATGGGTCCTTTTCCTATTTGTATGATCTCTTTGGGATACAGCCCTAGAAGTGCTATTGCTGGGTCAAAGGGTATGCATATTTTTATAGCCCTTTGTGCATAATTCCAAAGTGCTCTCCAAAATGGTTGGATCATTTTATAACTCCACCAACAATGCGTTAGTATTTCAATTTTCCCAAATCTTCTTCAACATTTATCATTTTCCTGTTTTGTCATGTTGGCCAATCTGATAGGTGTGATGTGGGACCTCAGAGTTGTTTTGATTTGCATTTCTCTAATCAATAGTGATTTAAAGCATTTTTTCATATGACTATGGATGGCTTTAATTTCTTCATCTGAGAACTGCCTGTTCATATCCTTTGACCATTTAGCAATTGGGGAATGACTTGTATTCTTATAAATTTGACTTAATTCTCTATATATTTTAGAAATGAGGTCTTTATCAGAGACACTGGTTGTAAAAATTCTTTCCCAATTTTTGGTTGCATTGGCTTTGTTTGTGCAAAAACTTTTCAATTTAATGTAATCAAAGTTACCCATTTTGCATTTCGTAATGTTCTTTATCTTCTGTTTGGTCATGAATTCTTCTGTTCTCCATAAATCTGATAGGTAAACTATTCCTTGCTCTCCCAGTTTGCTTACAGTATCAGCCTTTATATCTAAATCATGAACCCATTTTGACTTTATTTTGGTACATGGTGTGAGATTTTGGTCTATGCCTAGTTTCTGCCATACTTTTTTTTTTTAGGCAATTGGGGTTAAGTGACTTGCCCAGGGTCACACAGCTAGTAACTGTCAAGTGTTTGGTCTGAGGTCGGATTTGAACTCAAGTCCTCCTGACTTCAGAACCAGTGCTCTGTCCACTGCGCCACCTAGCTGCCCCCTTGCCATACTCTTTTCCAGTTTTTCCCAGCAGTTTTTGTCAAAAAGTGAGTTCTTATCCCAGAAGCTGGGTTCTTTGGGTTTATCAAATAATAGATTACTATAGCCATTGACTGTTGTGTCTTGCATACTTAACCTATTCCACTGATCTACCACTGGACTGAGAAAACAATTCACAATGATTTAAGTTTAACATGTGACCATCCCAAGTTAAAGGAACTGCCCAAATCAATTAGAAATATAGTAAAAGTCAGTAACCGCAAACTACATGTAAAAGCTAACAGACAACAGAAAAAGTTGAGAAACTCAGAAATGCATAAACTATATGTATCATATTGTATAATATCAACCCAAATTTTACAATAAGACACTGTAACAACCCATAAAAGAAAAAGAAAAAAAATTCAGACTTTTTCTCTGGTATGAAGGGAGGGCCAGAATAATTTTTATGTGGATTTTCCAGATCTCAGGAGTGCCAGGCCCCTTACCCCCACGATGTGGAAGAGATAACTATATAATTACCTCTATAAATGTTATTTAATTTTAATTTTAAATTTAATTTAAATTTTAAAAAATTATTTAAATTAATTTTAAATTATTATACTTTTTTTAGTTAAACAACCACCAAGTGGCTATTATGTGCAAACTGATTTGTACAGAAACTGAAATAGGGTAGGGATTTAGCAGGTAATAGTAGAATCAGAGACTTAAAATAAGAAGGGACCTTAGAGCATAGAATCTAACCCCCTTACTTTACAAGTGAGAAAACTGAGACTGGGGGAATTTATGTGACTTAAGTTGCCCAGAGTTACCCAGCTAGTTAGCATCTAAGGCAGGATTTGAAATCAGGTCTTCCTGACTCTAAGCCCACCACTCTATCCACTCTAGCTACATGCACTCCTTTCGCAGGGGATAAATTTCTTAAACATAATTTTAAAAATACAAACACACAAATGTTCCTGAAGATAATGGAATGACATTACACATTGGGACCTCTTCACGGGGCCCTGTGTTGGGTTTGCTTACTTAACATGAGATCAAACAGTCTCCTAGCTCCAAATGAAAAAGGGAGGAGGGAGAGAAGGAGGAAAGTGAATAGAAGGGGAGAGAAGAGGAAAGAGAGAGGCAGAGGGAGAGAGGAGGCAGAGAAGAAAATCAAACAATGTGTCAAGCAGCTGTTCTGTCAGAAAGAAGGTGCTCTCTAAAAGAATTCCTAAAAAAGAGCCTTCTGCCAGAAAGTACAGAGAAGTAAGACATCTTTGAAAGCTACAGCTTGAACTTATATGCTTTATAAGAAAAACAAAGCAATGCATAATCGATAGATACAGTTTTGTGTACAATCTTCTCTATCTGTTCTACTATACATATGAAAATATCCATTTTCTTTATTGTTTTTTAAGTTCAAAATAAAAATACATTTTGAAAAAAGAGACTTTTTGATATATGGAAATCAGAAAAAAAAAAAAGGTATGGTGTCCTATGAGGGAGAGAAGTGAGTAATGGCCGGGTGCTATTCCGCTCAGTCCTGGGATTATCTATATATGGAGAGTGCTGGTGCATGATAAGCTGCTAGTATGCTCTAAAGTGGCCTGTGTCATTCTACAGGGACAGGATGAAGAGGGCTGAAACTGTGAGAGAGTACACCCTGACAAAAGTAGGCTGTGACAGTCTTAACCCTATCAGGGAGGCTGAAGCTCCTTTCTCCGTGTGTGTGTGTGTGTGTGTGTGTGTGTGTGTGTGTGTGTGTGTTCTCTGTGCCTGGTTGGGATGTTCCCCTGCTGGAGACATCCTCAGAGGCAGTGTCCTGTGTGTGGGTGGGCAGGTATTCCTTGAACTATAGGTGTACATGTACCACTTCTCCAATTTGGTTGGGCCAACAAGGAACCAGGGCAGGAATTCAGACAAAACAGATACCAGAAGGAACCAATACATGCTCAAATACTCATAGAGAGGAAACCGTTGCTTGTCTGAAATTTCCTACTGAAGTCTTCCCCTTCCATTGAAGATGTGCATTCTTCAGAGGTAGCAACTTTTGACAACTTCATAGAATACTTAGGTATACAAGGTATAACAATAATTCATATTTGTATAGCACTTAGATATTTATAAAACAGCTTCTTCATATTACTCTTGTATAGTAAGTAGAGCAACTATTTTGGAGATAAGCAATCTGACTCTTATAGATCAAAGGGGCAGCTAGGTGGCAAAGTAGATAGAGTGCCAGGCCTGGAGTCAGGAAGACTCGTCTTCCTGAGTTCAGATTTAACCTCAGACACTTACTAATTGTGTGACCCTGGGCAAGTCACTGAACCTTGT